GCACGGCCATGAACCTCAGCATACCTTCACCCAGGTTTTCTACGAAACACCCATTTTTTTGCCAAGCTGAGAGAGTAAACCCCAGGAGCAAAGAGGAGGATGCAGATAACAAACAAGGAGGGTGCTGCTTACGATACTTTTGGGACTTTGGCAGGGCAGAGCAGGAAGGCCAAGATGGATGCCCCCAGCTCTGAGGATCTCTGCGTGTTTCCCACCACAGGGGAACAGCCACGGAGCATCCCGTGCAGAGCTTTTTCCTGCCAGAAGGACTTTTTTTTGGGTAACAGAGAGCAGGTGATGGTGGCAGGCTGGGGGCTCCCTGCCCGTGGTGGTCATCTGGTACCAGGGAGAAGGGACCCGGGGCTGTGTGGGCGATGGATGCCCCCAGCTCTGAGGATCTCTGCGTGTTTCCCACCACAGGGGAACAGCCACGGAGCATCCCGTGCAGAGCTTTTTCCTGCCAGAAGGACTTTTTTTTGGGTAACAGAGAGCAGGTGATGGTGGCAGGCTGGGGGCTCCCTGCCCGTGGTGGTCATCTGGTACCAGGGAGAAGGGACCCGGGGCTGTGTGGGCTGTCTGCAGGCTGCCCCGTGGACTGTCTTGCGTATCCATTATAGATGTGGGGGATAGAGAAATCCCAGTTGCATCAGTCCTGGACCCAGCAGTGCTCTCCAATGCTGCGGCAGTGAACTGGGGAGGGGACAGCCCCCGGGTGCAGGGGGAGCAGCCTTTGAGCTGCCAGAAGGGTGTTGAACCCCCAGCCTTCTGCCTCCTGCAGCCGTGCAGGGCCGGGCTGGGGCTGGGCTGGCTCGCAGATGTGTTTCTGGGGTTTTGGGGCCCCTTTCCCGGTGTGGCTGCCTCGGTGCTGGAAAGCTGCTGCCGGCCTGGCTGGCAATGGGACAGCGTGGGGCTCGGCCCCCCTGCTCTGCAGCCCCTGCCCTTGATCTGGCAGTCCAACGTGATGGAAAGGGCTTTGGGGTGATATGTGTGGGGATTCAGCAGGGCCGAGCAAGGAAATAATAATAACAATATTAATAATAATGGTGATATAATAATAATAATGGTGATAGGTTTTTATTTTAAATAGTGTGCCGAGCTGAGCCTGTTCTACCCCAGGTGCCCCTCGGTGTCTGTCAGTGCCTTCCCACTGCCCCGTCTGCTCTGGTGGGATCAGAGTCAGGCTACGTGGACACCCCAGAGCCCTGGCAGTGGGTGCTGGGGGCGATGATGCCACCTCTGCCTAAAATAGTGCGATAAAATAAGGAATTCTGAACCTTGGAGAGGTTTGAGGACAAGGCAGGGATCACGGGGCGAGCGTCCTGTCTGGGTCTGGCGCAGGGCTGTGGTGCACAGATGGAAGAGTAATTAAGAATAATAAAAGGAAAAAGACTTGGATTCAGCCACAGTCTCAGCACATTAATTGTGCTTTGGGGCCTAAATCATAACGACGTCCTGCTAGAGGGAATCCAGGAGAGAAACCAAACATCTCGCTCTGTCCAAAGCTGACCAGTTAAGAGACCCTTGCCTTCATCTGCTGCCAGGTTTTGCTTCCAAAGGCTCCCATCTGCCAAAACCCAGGTTCTTGTTTAAAATTTTTTTAGGGGACGAAGAAAAGCTCTGGTGACGCTCCGAGCGCGAGCGCTGGGGGCGCAGAGAGTGATGTGCCGCGGACAGCGCGTGGCACCGCTCTTTGCTGGATGGGGAAGCGTGGGGCTGTTGGGGCTCGCAGTTCATCCCAGTTGGGTGGATGTGGCACTGGGCTGGGACACGGCGTTTCGCTGCTCTTGTGATGGGGATGAGCTGTGCTAGCAGGCAGAGGTCCTGCCTGTGCTTCCGTGCAGGCTGAGCATCTCTGCTAAATTGACAAGCAATTACATGGTTAATGGTATCAATGTTAAATCCTCATCACTCAGCAGTCTGAGGCTTAATGCTTCATTAAGGCAAAGGCATCTCATAGCTCTCTGGGCTGGGAGCTGCCTGTGCTTTAAGCCTGAGTAGAAGTCATCTGTCCAGAGGCTGCTTTTGCTCTCCTGCTCCTACAGCCAAGCTGAAGGCCCTCCAAAATGGAAGGGGGGGCAGGAAAATGCTGCGGTACGCTTGGTGCTGGCCGGATCAAGCCTTGCTGATGCGCCGGAGCTGCGTGTTGCCAGTGCAGTGTGTGAAAAGCACGGCCGTTGTTTAAAACCTGCTATTCCCTGCTCCCCTGGGTATCCCCAGCTCCCTGTCTGCCTCCATTCATCGTTTTCCAGCTCTGCGCCCGCCTCTCCCCGCTGTTGTACCTCTGGATTTAACCTTTTTCTCCCCTGCGTTACCGTGCATTTGTCGATGTTGAATTTCCTCCGCCGTCGGTGATTGGTGGTGCCTCGTCTCTTCGTGAGCGTTGCAGACACTTTGGGCTTTGGTCTCAGGTGCCTCCCAAATCTCACGTCTTGGCTGGAGCGGTGCTGGCCTGATCCTGTGGCCTTCTTTTGGGATATTTTCCACTGAAAAGCGGGAGGATGAGCTCTGCATCGCTGAGCTTTGCAGTGAAACACGACGGAGGAGCTGCTACAGCACCCCTGCAACTCTTGGTGGGACCCCCTGGTCACAACCCCCTGGCCACCTCTGGACCAGCAACATCAGTCTGTCCAATGTGCTTATATAAAACCCCCCAGAATTTGTACTCTTTTAGCCATTTGGATGGGATTTTGTCCTTTGGAAACCTGGCCAGCTGTGTGGAGCATCTTCCTTCGCCCGTTTTGGATCTACGTGGAGTGTGGCAGCACGTGTCCTTGTTTGAAGAGGCTGCACTGGAGACCATTGCCATGGTTTTTGCAAGCGTTTCACCCTTTTAGCTGCCCCTTTTTTGTGTTCCCTCAAGTAGCTGCTTCATTTTTTTGAACTCGATTCCCTTTCAAAGCTGCGTTCTCCCCTCATCGTGATGACGATCAGAGCAAGAAGCGGCTCCTTGAACCAAGTCCTGCGGCAGGAAGGATGCTCAGCTGCATCCCCTCGGCCTTCCCTGTGACTCCAGCTGCCATTCCTGTTGGGATGTTTTAATATTTTTGTCGTATCCAAATGCACCATCTCTGCAATTATTTTGGAGGTACTGCTGTGGACCTCTGCAGGATCTCCTAGTTCCTCGCACTCGAGCCATGCTTACTCCACAGATTATTTTGCTGTTATTAGGTTATTTCCTTATAAATGAGACCTTGTGAGGTCTCAGAGGCTGATTTTTAGTGACTGCTCTGTTTTCCCCTGCCCCGCTGCTGCAGCGTGAATGGGTGAAGTCTGTTCGAGGTGGAGCAACCCATGTCATCGTGCTACGAAGCTGGGATGTGGAACTGCTTTAGGGCTGTGACCTGGGACATTATCAGCTTATTTCATCCCAAAACCAGTGCCTCTGGCCTGGGAGAACTGGGCTGCCATGCCGTCTGCTGGAGTTAGCTCCTTGACGTGATTTTATGGGGAGTTTTTGCTCAGGCCTCTGACTCTTGTCCATGTTAGGAAGAGCTTGTGCAGGTTTTTCGGCATTGGGATTAGTGCTGACAGTGCTCCCAGCAAATCCCAGATGCGTGGATGTACGTCTCCGTGCAGGGAGCTGCTGGCCAGCAAAACCCCACCGTGGGAAAGGCGATAACTCTGCAAATGGCCCCAGGACTTTCTGATTAATAAAACATTTGCTGGTGTTTCTCGCATGGGAGCCTTGATTGCACAGAGGCGTTTGGACGGAGCTGGTGGACTTGGAGCCTGCATCCCAGCGTGGTCCAGGCTCGCTTTCCAGAGCAGCCCAGCATCCAGGCACCCCAGGGTCCTGCAGCTGGAAAAGAAGCACAGAAGAAAAAGAAAGAAAAGGAAAAACCTTGCTCCACAACCCAGCCTCTCCCAGCACCGGCTGGGGTCTGTTGGGTTCCCTCACTTGCCCTCCCCAAACCTGAGGTTTTTTGGGAAGTGGAGGCAGGAACGGTGCTGCACAGGTAACCTAAAACCCCAGGGCTGAGTTTTGGCTTGGGGTAGGTGTTGGCTGTGCTGGCCAAATCCTGCTTTGCTTCACTGCCTTGCCTCTGTAAAATTATCCCAGTAGCTTTGTGATTCTCATCTCCTTTCCTGCCATGTGCTGTCCCCAAGCTTCTCCCAGGTTTTGTTGCTTCCTTGGATGAAGAAATCCCCTTGCCTGGATTTGGTGGAGCACTGGGGTGGTTTGTGTTTGCTGTGATGGATAGAGATACCGGCTTGGGAACCATCCCTGGTCACTGGGGAGAGCTGGTGGCATCCCAGAGCCACCTACCCCATCACCCATCTCAACACAGCATCCACTGGGTGCTGATGAAGGCACTTTTGGGGTCAGAACCCAGTTTATGAGGGCCCTTTTAGGATCAGAAGCCAGGTTTTTTTTACTGTGTTTCACAGAATCTGCCATTTACGTGCTGAATCCTGTAATCCTCTGGTTTGGGTTCCTTTTTTCCCCTCGTGTCCCCCCCTGCCCCGAGCTGTCCCCGCTGTGGGGGTGTGGGTGTGGATCCTTTCCTGCGTGGTGACAGTGGGAGACGTGCAGCTCCCAGCAGGATCAAGGGGCTTAAAAATCTGTGCTGGCTAAAGCAAAAAGTTAATGTGAATTTAACTGACTTCTGCCCTGCAATTAAAGCCACTCAACCCCACTGGGGCTCTGAGTTTACATTCTTTACTGAGGCACAGTGTGTAATTATATATGTATAATTTAAACTGTGCATATGCATGTGTTCCTATTATACACCAAGGAGCAAAGGAAATTATCCAGGAATTAAAGGGGGAGGAGGGTGCGGGCGTGGAGAATGGCTCTCTTGTGTGGATGTGGCAGCGAGGGGAAGCTGGAGGGATCACATCCTCACCGCTGCAGGCACCTTTTGAAGGTGCAGAAAACGAGAACTCGATGTATTAAACATTTGTGGTGGGCTCCGGATTGGGGCATGAAGAAATGGCTGCAGTGGTGCCCTTCTGGCTCCCAGGAACCCTGCCCTCATGCTCCCTCTCTTTTCTTGCAGCCACTTCCAACGGGACACTGGATGGGCTGGAGAACCGGGAAGGGGGCGTCTGCCAGACGCGCTCCATGAAGATCGTCATGAAAGTGGGGCAGGGTGAGTCCTTCTGCGCCTCGGGGTCTCCTGTCGCCGAAATGCCTTTGGCCAGCAAAACGTTGGCTCCTGATCTAGGACCCTTGTCCTGCAGTGGTGGGGGAGTTCTGGGGAAACAGGCTGTGCCAGTTGGTGCCTGGAGCCAGGGAGGCCTCCTGGGTTAATTCAGCAGAATTTAATTCATTTTTAGGATTTTTCTTTCCCTCTTTTTTTTCATTTTTTGTCCTGGTGGGAAGTGCAGGACCCATGAACTGTGCAAGAGCATTAGTGGGGGTTTGGCCTGGACGATGCCACTGGGACTTGCCAGGCACCCAAGGAGGATTTTGGGTCAGTGCTTGGGCTTAGCGTGGTCCTGGCAGCTCTCAGTGGTGGTGGGGGAACAACCCAGGCTGATGGTGGTGGTGGGATACCGAGGATCTCGCTCATAGTGGGGCCATGGCAGAGCGAACTCCTCTCCATGGGGGAGCTCCCCAGCACCTCCCGTCTTGAGCTGCCCACTGCCTCCCAGCCCCAGTGATGCCCTGGGCTCATTTCGGCCCCCAATTCGGATGCACAGGTCTTGGTGGCTGCTTCTCATTATTGTGTTTTCACTTCAGGCCAATATTTATAATAAACAGAAGCAGCAGCACTGCAGCCTTGGCAAGGCTCCCTTCCATTCCCGTTCCTCCCACTGCCCGCGCAGGAACCTCGCCCCAACCCACGCACGACAGCTCAGAAAACATAAAAGTAGGGGGGGAATTAGGGTGGGGAAGCTGCTGCCTACAAGCCCTGAAGTCGCTCAGTCTTGCTCTCGGCAGCTCCCATTGCTCCCACGTCTCCCTTGCGCCCCAGGGATTTTGGGGGGAGTTGTTCTTTATGTGGAGGAGTGAGCTGCTGCTGTCCAGGTTGAATGGAGGTTTCTCATCCATCCCTTCCCTCTTCTCCCCAGATCCGAACGCGGTGATCCCTGAGCAGCTGACGACGAGTCGGCCGAGCAAGGAGGCCGACAACACCATGAAAATCGTCACGCAGAGCCCGCGCAGCAAGGTCCCTGCCGTGGAGGAGCCCGGCAAGCCCGGTGGGTTCTGCAGGGACACCCCACGAGAGGGATGGGGACTCTGCCTGCTCTGAGCCGGCCTTTTTGTCTGAATCCCAGGGATCCTGGCCACTCCAGAGCACGGATGGAGATGGGTTTCCTATAAGCGTTGTGCCCATCTCAGCTGTCCCTACTGCTCACAGCATCTCCTGGCCTTGCATCTTTTGGCCAGGGACTTCTTGGGGCATGGCACAGGCAGCCAGGCAGTGGTGCAGGGCAGCTCAGGTTTGTTTTCCCAGTTCTGGTACGTCCTGGCAGGAGTTTTGCAGGGAAGTGCTGTTTCAGCACCCTCCTCCTCTTCCTCCTCCTCCTTGCTCCCCATCTGTTTCTCGCCATTCATCTGAGAGGGCTTGGAGGAGGTAAGGTCCTTGGGTTTTTGAGCTGAGCCAGTGTGAAAGCCCTTTGAAGGTGTTTTCCTGAGTTCCTGACCCTGCTGAGAGAAAAGTGAAATCAGATGAAGTGGGGAAGAGTTGCTCTTTTCTTCTCGCCTGGTACGGCCAGCCAAGTGCTCTCTCTTTGGGGGATGCTGGGGCTGCCCTGGGCTGGGGGTCAGGAGGAGGTGGGGGGGTCAGTAATTGGATATCGCGGGGTGCCCTCTGACACTCCCCTCTCCCCTTGCCTTGCAGGCCCTGTCAACCAGGACGGCCAGGAGACCCAAGGTCCCAGCGACGGCTTCTTGAGCTCCAAGGTGGCCGTCTTCGCAGCGATTGGCGCCGGCTGCGTCATCTTCATCCTCATCATCATTTTCCTCGTCGTCCTCCTGATCAAGATCCGCAAGCGGCACCGGAAGCACACGCAGCAGCGAGCCGCAGCCTTGTCCCTCAGCACCTTGGCCAGCCCGAAATGCAGTGGGAACGCGGGCTCTGAGCCCAGCGACATCATCATCCCCTTACGGACTACAGAAAACAACTACTGCCCGCACTACGAGAAGGTGAGCGGGGACTACGGGCACCCCGTCTACATCGTCCAGGAGATGCCCCCCCAGAGCCCAGCCAACATTTACTACAAGGTGTGAGGAGCAGCCTGGGCAAGCCGCCGATGCAGGAGCATGGGA